TGATCGGCAGTTTTTGAAATTTCTTCTAATTGTTCATTGAAAATATATCCCATTAGATACAAGAGTTGACCTAAAAGTGTTGATTTACCACTGCCTGATTGCCCGATCAGTGAAATGGTGTGGGTTGGCTTATCGAGCATTTTTTTTTGATTTTGTAAAATACGAAAACGAACTAAACTATATTGAAAAATCTTGAATCTGCATTGTTACAATTGTAACTTCATTCTTGAGATTACACGATGCTATATAGTAATTTTTGAGAATTTACTCTACCTTTCATGATGAATTGAAGTCCTATTTTGGCTTTGGATTTATTTTCTTACATTCCCTGCTGAGGTTAATTTCTCGACAGATTGGAAAGATGACTCTTTTTAAATTGAGAAATGGGTAGATTAGATAGTAAACTTCTTGTAATTGGTGCAAAATCGCCTACCAAACAACACTAACCAAACAAACCAGTCAACCAGTCAACCATTGCAAACGTTCAAAGCCGTATCATTATTATTTACATTTATTTACATTGAATTTTCAGATTTTTCAATTTCCTTCATTTCATAAAAGTTAAACATTTTTCAATCATTGACCTTTCATCAATTTCACTCTTGGTTGAACAATGAATAGTTGCACTCAAACCATTTAATTTTTGTTTAACTGTTTTGACAGTGGCAGCAACTTGAAACTTTTCCTTAACATTGGTTTCGTTTGGACACCAAGTGAGAAACATCATTTTGGTTCTGGTTCCTTCTCTGATTTGACAAGTTTCGTTTTGGGATGGCATTTCGAAACTTAAATGATAGCAAATGAAACGAGAATTCTTTGGTGGGAGATTGGCAGTCAATTCATCCAATGAAGAGAGTTGAGACAATTCTTGATCGATTTGAATTGAACTTTCTTGCATTTTCAATACGAGAAACTTTTTATCCTTATTCGAACCCTTTCCCATTCTCATTTCTTCATAGGTTTTGAGAATTTCATCACTGAATTGACAATTAAGCATCATTTTGATTAGTTTTGAGTTTAGTTGTTTAGATATTTGTTTTGTTGTTGTTTTTCTAAAGTTTCGAATAGTGCATATTTATAACTATTTTAAAGTTCAAACTTGTTGCAAATTGGGAGTGGAAAGGAGACAATTTTGAAAGATTGGAGGTGTATCAACCAATAGAATTGTTTCGAGTTTGATTGATAAGCGGAAATAATTTGAAAGATAGGCAAGGAACTTGGAACAGCTTGTTATATTTTTAAGGAAAATGAGAGTGTCAAATCTTTGATTGTTTTCTCGGTGGTTTTAAGAAGGGAAGCTTTGAAAATTGATATTTAGCTAGTGTACATATCATTCCTCCTATTCTGAAAAAATTAAAACTCAAATATTGTATAAACGAATCAAAAATTATTACTCGAGTGCCGGGAATTGAACCCGGGTCGCCAGAGTGACAGTCTGGAATGCTACCACTATACCACACCCGATTACATATTATTTTCTAAAAATATCTAATGTTCAATATTGGCATCCATATTCCTCTTTTAGAAATTGTCTTATCCTCTTCAAATCTATGACAAATACACGGGCATTGCATTTATTAACACTCGCAGCCTATTTGCAAGAAAGTTCTCCAATTCCAAATTGATCTTTCATTTTGTAAAAATTGAAAATTCAAATTTTAAAAAATGGCAAAACTCGTACAACACAAACTAATGATCTCTGAAATGAGTCAAACTTTTGATTCAGTGTTTGGATCATCATCGGGTTCGATTCATCACAGCAACAAAAATAAAAATTCATCATCTTCATCATCACTATCGAATAGAAAACAACAAGTTGAACTGGAATTCGAAACTGAAGGTGATGAAAATGCTGTTCAAGTCAAGTTTGAAAAATTGAAAGGAGGAAAGTCTGAGAAACGATACAAATTGATAATTAATTATCCTAAAGAACGCAGTGGTGAAATTAAATTTTCCATCAGCAAGTATTGCATTGAAAAGAAGCAAGTGATTGTCTTGATTGAGGATTTTAAATTGGAGAAGAGTGTTTCATTATTTGTTGGACGAATTGCTGCAGAGAGTAAAATTTTCATGATTGAATTGAAAGAGGAATATATTGGAATGCCAATTGCAAAGGTGGCTGAGAAATTGTTTGCTCCACATTGCATTGATAAGAGTGTGACTAGTGAGGGATGTATGATAATTAATCCTAATTTGTTCTTTGTGGATGAACCCTCCCAAATGATCAAAACGACATGTGATATGGCAATGGGAATGTTCGATCCAAGTGGGAATCATTCACATATTGAACCAGTTCTACATCAATTGAGCATTGGATACAGAAAGTATAATCAGATTTGGGTGAAAGGCTTTTCATTCATGAATGGATTTTCTCCATTCAAAGCAGTTCTAAATGCCGCTAATAGAGATACTATTGGAGAACATTCTTTCGGTTTTTGTTTCAAGAATGGAACTTACAAATTCAATAGTGGATATTATTTTGAGAATGTGGAAAGATATGAATTTGAGGAATGTGTTGAATTTTCTTTAGGATACATGGGAAAGTCAACCAAATTCCAGAAGGGAAACTTTCTAGACTTTGTCTATGTGAGAGGGAAAGTAAAGAAGGGAACAAAGAGTGTTTGCACATTGACAAGTTGGAAGAGATTATGTATCCTTAATTCCTATTATTCAACTTGGATCACAACAATTACTTTGAAAAAATGAAAACTCTGAATTTCAAATTGGAGCTTAATTCCTTTGTAAAACGAGTGTACATATGATTAATATTACAAAATATCAACATTTCAATGTCAATACAATAGTTCTTTAAAAATTTTAATAACAAAAAAAAATGATTCAACAACAAGACGTTGATTTTATGAATCCCAAGATTGAACTTTTTCGGATCAATGAGTTGGTTCAATCTTCAAACAATGATCGGAATCAACATGATAAAGAAGAAGAATTAAATAATAGCAATATTAATATGAATAATAATACTGATACATCGTTGTATACAAAACAAGGAAGAATTATTAGAGCAAGAGAGGATATTGATGAAGGAGAAATTCTGGTGATTGAAAAGGCCTATGCAAGTGTATTGCATCAGTCAAATATTAATTTTAATTCTCATAGTTTTTGTGTAGTTTGTCAAAAGAAGAAAATTATGAAAAATATTGCTAATGCTGATTTAATCAATTCCTCATCGGCATGTTGTGATAAATCAACAAGTAATTGCAACAATGAATGGATGTTGTGTGGAGATGAAGGTTGTGAATTTTTGAGGAATACAGTGTACAAGGAGAATGAATTAATGGATGGACAATCAATGTATGATTACTTGTTGAGGATGGCTGAGGAGTGTGGAATTGAATTTTCACTCCTCTTGTTAGTTTACAGAATTTGTAGGAAATTTGAGTTTGATTTTAATTCGAGTAATGAGCTTGCTTCTAAGTATTTTGATAGAAACAAGATGGATAATCTATTATCATTAGAAACTCATAGGGATGAAATTTATCCAGAGCACTTGTTTCTATTCAAGAAAGCCTCATCATGTCTCAAGGAGAGAATCTTTCTCGATAATGTCATTGGTGAGGAATTAATTATTGACACATTTTGTAGAATATTTGTAAATGCACACAGTATCACTCATACCAGATGGTGGTGGCATCAATCGGATAACATTATTGAAGTGGAGAAACAAAATGCTGATACAGCAGAAAAGGAAATGGAGGAAATTTCCCAATTTTTCAAACATGAATCGTTGAAAAGCAAATGTCTCGATTCTCCCTTTTTCATTCCTGCATGCTCATCTGATAGGGAGGATCATACTGAGAATAGTTGTGCTGATTTTAGAGATATTGGAACAGGACTATTTCCAATGGTTTCCATGTTTGATCATTCATGCTCTCCAAATTGCTCCTTCCAGACCTTTGATGATATGAAATCGAGAAATTCCTACTCTGGCAATGTCATTCTCGTTCAAACTGTGAAAAAGGTCAAGAAGGGAGAAGAATTGTGCATTAGTTATATTGACATTATGAATCCAACATGTATACGGAGAAGAGAGTTGTGGTACTCGAAATATTTCGTCTGTCGTTGTTCCAGATGCATGAGTGAAACAGAGGAGAATCGAATGGTGAGAGCCTATTCTTGTGGAGAGTCTGAATGCACTGAGGGTTATCTTGTACCCATCTATCATTGCAATGTGAGTGAGGAACCAAAGGCAGATTTGAGACATGTCAATTTGAATGACTCGGGCGTGCAACCATTTGATTCAGAGAATGATTTTAACCTTGAGGATTTTGATGAGGAAGATTATGATAAGGCACTCTCCATGTTTGAGGATATCTATGAGAATGATGAATCTAGAGAATTCAATCACGACCAGAGAGAAATCGATGAAGCTTACATTCAAAGGATTTCATATTGGAAATGCACACACTGTGAAAGGAGTATTGAAGGGGAGGCACCTGAAAGTGAGCTCATGCAAAACATGGAGAGACATCTGAATCAAGAGTTGATTTCTGTTGGACAACAAGTTTCGGAAGACAATTTAAAACTGAATGAGTTGCCAAGAGAGGAGTACTGTTGTGTCCTGTTGGAAATTGTCGACCAGTTGTGCCAATCCATTGTACATGTTGAGAGTGGTTCCTATCCTGGTTTTGAATCACTCAAGGTACATCCTAACCATTACTTGTTGTTCCAAATGAAGGGAAAGTTTGTCACGATGCTCATCAAGCTATTCGAAAGAGGTTGGTGGAAGTACCGTAAGGATGTTACTTCTGCATCGCAGTTGTGGGAGATGCCACTTCTACGAATGCTTGTTGTTGTAATGATGCAAGACATTACCTCAACCTTGGATTAAAGTACTTGGGTGAGATGGCAGCAAGTACCAAGCAAATATTTCCAACTTTCCACACAGAAATTATGCTCTTCCATTGCAAGCTGCTCAAGTACAAATATTGGATGGAAGAGAATCACTTGTTGGATGGACAAGTTTCTTCCAACTTACCAAGTGAAGAAGAATTACTATCAAGTCTCTTGGAACAATATCGAGTCATAATCAAATAAACAATATCAACTCTTACCATTATGAATTTTGATTATAAAGGTTTTATTAAAGAGATTTACAAAGTCTTCTTCTTGGCACCGAGTTCGAAGTGCTTACATCTCTTGATTCCTCTTTGGTTGATTCTCTTACATTCCTTACATTGGAGTCTGAGAACGATCTTCTTGGTAGTCTTAGCCTTCTTGTGGAAAATTGGTTTGGTTTGACCACCATAACCCTTTTGCTTACGATCGTAACGTCTCTTACCTTGAGCCCAGAGAGAGGCCTTACCAGCCTTGTATTGGGTAACCTTGTGTTCCTTGTGAGTAGCACACTTTTGACAGTAGGCCTTCAATTGCTTTGGGAAGTTCACCATTTTTTGGCTCTATTGTGATGAATGTAGAGGAATATTATGATATTAGTAACAACATGATAATATGTTGTAGAGTGAATAGTTGGTTGTGGAAGGTTAAAGAATATGGTAGAAGTAAGTTTTTGCTTGATGAATAAAATGACTACGTACAGTGTTGACTTTGAGGTATTTTTTTCGAACAAATCTTTAAGTTGGTTTTGCCTAGCTGTGTTTTACAATGAAAATTTTAGCTGAAAAATATTGCAGCCACAACATCAACCAAAGAAAAACCTTCATGATGACGCTAACAAAGACTTGAAAGAGGCTGCTACTTCTTCATCATCAATAATTACTACTCTATCATCCACTTCAAAGCACGAATTGAACATCAATTTGGGAGTCTACTCTATACATTCAACCAATCGTTTGTTCTTCATCAGCGGATGAAACGAATTCATTGGTGGATTTATTTACAAATACACCATTATTTACACAAATAGTTCTATGAACAGGAGTCCTGTTCCAAAAAGGCTGTTGGAAAAGGCTTTCTTTTATTTTCCTTTTTGTTTTTGAATTATTCAATTTAAATAATGTTGAACCATGACTAGCTATTCAAATAGCACATGGTTGATGGAGGAATTCAAATCAAGTACCTCTTCTCATCTGCTTTGGATTTTAGAAAATTTAGGAAGAGCACTTGTTTTATATAACGTAATCTTGATATCAGAACATCATGTGTAACACACAATAACAATATTTGCCAATTCGCTCTAATATATTGGACATAATATTCCATCATTGTGAGCCAATAAGAGTGGTTTAAAACTAGCCGTTACAACAAAGTATCAACATTGTGAAATTCACAAGTGGAGCATGTGTATTTGATGTTCACCCAGCATCACTAACATCCTTCCAATAACTGAGAATCAACTTTCACATCTCTTGGAAAATATCCAAGAGCCATAACACCTCCTCTTTAAATTGAACAAGTTGTCAAAAGGTGTTAAGAATATTCTTCATCTATTGGACTTCTATCTTCGTATGTCTAATGCCAGCTTGTGGTTCAACAAATTTCTTATATAATGGGAACATCCAAATCACCTTATTCAATTCTGTTGGATTGAATAAATTTCAATTTGATTTAAAAGAATCTCATATATTTTCTACATGAAACTTCATTAACGAACCTTCTAGTGCATTATCCACTCGAAAATGTCAGTTAATTACAAAACAGGTCTATGAGAAAGGAACTAGTGATCACGTTTTGTGGACTTTTCCTCATTGTCACGCTTGGATTTTCATAAGTCAACAGAAACAAACGCCTCTACAAGAATGACACATACTCTGAGTTTTGTTATCACTCTTCTGTTAGTGCTAACCTACGGTTCATCTATTACTTTCCAACAAGATACACTTTCAACCAAGTGCTTTACTGATGTTAGTTACAGTTCTCTCAAGAGTAATGATCTTATTGTTGGAGTGAAGAGCTACTTTACTCTATTTGTTTGGAGATCAAAATTTGGAAATACAGCAACACAACAAGACGAGAATGTAGCAACTGCCAGTGACAACAAGAATCAATTCATAAGAGAATGGATTGATAAATTGGAGAAACCTCTTATGGTAGGAGTTGAATACAAATACTTCAACTTGTTTGAAACTCTGATTAGCACTCTTCACATGGATCATTCCAAATTGACCATCAAGAAAATATATTTAACTGATGAGTTGTGCAGAGTGTCAAACTTGTACGAAGAATTCGATGCTCTCTTTCTTGAACCATACAAATTCACATATTTTGTTAGGATTTACAGAGAGCACGACATGAAGAGGACATCAGCCAAGTACATCAATCCGAGTGACTTTTATCCATTCCAAATGTTAGCTTCGAATTTGACAATAATTGATAGAAAATCATGCCCCTCAGATGTTGATATTCAATCAGACATTTCAAAACACTATTTAAATTATGAAGAGTTTATGTATTCTCTTGGTAATTATTCGTGCGAGCATCGACCTGATTATTATGACAATCAACATTTGAGATTATTGAGCGGAATTTCAAATTTTACAGAGAATGATATTATTCTCCTTCAGAACGTTACAGGAACAAGTCTGTCATTCACAACACAATATTTGAATGAATTTTCGAGCGGCTCAAGCGTTCATTCCATTCATTCATTTAACTCTAGTGTACTAAATCAGATTCTTCTTCCCTCTTCATGCCACTTTTGCTCGGCTACTCTGTGTCCAGAGTATCATATCAATAATGATGAGTTGTGGTCGATAGGACAAGTTGGAGTTATTTTGATTTACTTTTTTGCCTTCTTCATCAGTGGAAGTTTCAAGTCAATGGTTTTCACACAACGTCTGGCACTTCCATATGCTCCAATCCTCTCTTTTATTGTAATGATATTCTTCTCAAAGAATGTTGCTTCCTACTGCTTTGTTGCTTTTCATATTGTTTCATTACAGTTGAGCTTGTGGTACTTATTATTGTTCACCTTCACTGTTGCAAGATTAGTCTACATGAGAAACATGTACAAAATTGTAAAGAATAGTACAAACATTAAGATTCACAAAATTGTTGCAAGTCCCTCATTTGGATTGATTATTTCACTTGTTGTACTTCCATCAATTTCAACTTTCATTACTTTTTATGGAGCTGCCATGTTTTTCATTAATAATAATCAATTAGATTTATTCAGAAATATATTCCTCATGGTATTCCTATTTGGAGGATGTTTATTAGGACTAATTTCAATATCATTTGATATGTTTTACAACCGTAGAAATATTAAGGAGAAGGGATTCTTGAAATTCCTCTTCTTTGATGACCCATATTTGGTGAGATTGGAACTTATATTGTTAGTAATGTTATTACTAATCGGAATATGGACTGTCATTATTTCATTGCTGCCTTCAAGTTTAGTAGATATTAGTGGACGATATATCAACTTTCTTGTTTCACTCTTCACAACACTGGCATGTGGAGGAAATGCACTGATTGCAGAATTGATCAAAAAGCTAATCTACCGTAAGAAATTCAACACTGAAAAGGATAGATTGGATCATTTACTATTGACAAATCAGGATCTTTACGAATTATTCAAGGATTATTGTTCTAAGGAATTCTCTTTGGAGAATATCTTGTTTTTCGAAAAGTTGAAACAAGCAAGTTCTAATTTTACTAGAGCCGATTCAAAACTGAGTAAGGAATTGATTGAAGAGATGGAGAAGGATTTCTTTACACCATACGGAAAATACGAATTGAATATTCCAGGCAATGTTCGAAAGCAAATTATTGAACTATTTCAAAAATCCAAATCAAAGGGAAATTCCACTGAGGAACTTCTTAAAGAGGAAGAAACCATTCTAGTTTCCCAATTAATGGACTTGATATATATCGATTTGTTGTTAAATCTAAATGACACTTTCACTCGGTTACAAAGAACAAGAGAATTCCAACGATGGAAAGAAGTTTACACTCTCCAATCCAAAATGAGTGTTTCCGAATAACAGACTTTATTTCAATTAACCATTCCAATTAACCTAATTTTCGAATCAGCTTAAATGATGAAGTTTGTTTTTCCCACCAACTGATATTCAATCCAACTCGGAACTCACACGAAAAAATACGTTGCATGATGGTGAACCTTGTAATTCAATCTCATCATGAATTAATTAATAAATTAGAGATGAAGATTTTAGAGAATTTCATAAACAAAAAGAAAGCAATAACTAATATATTGTTAAATATACAACTTGTTGAATAACACATCCCGATAACAAATGACCAAGAATAATTCTTCCGAAGATATTACTGAATATTATGATGATCCAACTATTTTGAATGAAAAATTGGATGAATTGGCCCAATTGCTCCAATCATCAAAACATGTTGTCTTTTATACAGGTGCTGGTATTAGTACTTCTGCAGGTATTTCTGATTTTAGAGGACCTAATGGTATTTGGACAATGAAAGAGAAGGGAATGAAGGCAAAAGCTTCTTCATCAACTATTAAGCTCCCAACTCCAACTCACATGGCCATTGCAACATTGTATCAGAGAGGAATGATCAAGTATGTGACTAGTCAGAATGTGGATGGTTTGCATGTGAAATCTGGATTTAGTAGAAAGGATATTTCAGAATTGCACGGAAATACCAATGTTGAGCTATGTAAAAATTGTAATTGTGAATATTTGAGAACTTTTAGATGTAGAAATGCAGAACATGTGCATGATCACAAGACTGGAAGAATGTGTGAACATTGTGGACATGAATTGGAGGATAGTATTATCAATTTTGGAGAAAATTTACCTGAAGATCAATTGGATAGAGCAGAATTGAATGCCAAGAAGGCAGATTTGGCCATCGTTTTGGGAACCTCATTGAGAGTGAGCCCAGCATGTGACTTGCCTGAAATGTGTTTAAAGAAGGGAGGTAAAATGGTGATTGTAAACTTGCAAAAGACTCCAAAGGATAAAAAGTCATCACTGAGAATTTTTGCCAAGACTGACGATGTCATTAATGGAATAATGGAAAGATTATCACTCTCCATTCCATCCTATGTATTGAAATCAGAATTTACTCTTGGAGCTACTGAAAAGGAAGAAAAATCAATATTTGGAAATATTAGAAGAAAGATTGGAGTTTCATTGACCTCACCAATTAAGGGTGCTAGAATATTGTCAGAACTGGAAATGAGATTGGTATGTGAAAAGAAGATTTTAAAGTATACCACTCCAACTATTGATGAAATTCCACAAGATTGTAAAAAGGTAGTAGCCAGATTGAGCTTTAATTTAGATCCAAAATTTGGCAAGGAAGCTGAATGTGAATTGGTGTTGGACAATCCACATTCATCAAAGACATTCTTCATCAATGTCGATACTTCTGATAATTCAGTGCAAGTAACTGAAGCTTTGTAAATATAAAATTTTGTAAATAATTCATTTCAATCTAAAAGAAAATCTTTTCAATTTTCCTTGCAAAACAAATTAGGAAAGAAGTGAAACAACTTTTCATTCAAATTGCTTTCAAAAATTTGGGCAAAAGTTGGAAACATATACAGTGTTTCGGCAAGAGTTGAACGCAATAAATGGTTTCTTCCAAGTTGTACTTTGACTAGGTTACAATCATTCGAATATTTTTAATTGGTCTCCTCTAAATAACAACAAAAATTGGTTAAATGAACGAATATAGTTCCAAATTCATCTTTCTCATATCACCATCCCACCTCTGACAGCCGAAAAAAATGTCCACACAATATTTCACACTCACAATCGTCTTGTTGCTAGTCTTCTTTACTTTGCAATCCTTCCAACAAAATTGCACCAGTTCATTGTTTTCAGAAACCGAAACTCCAGCCACCTTGGATGACAGCTGTCCAATTTCTTATGTCAATTTTGGTAAAGCATGTCTTCCCTTCTCTACCATTTACAAGCAAAAGAAAGAAATTTCATGTACATCCACTTCTGATTGTCTTTTTACATCCTTGGAATGTGTTAATCATAAATGTCTGCCAAAAATCAGATTGTCAGGTGATTCTTGTGTAGATGACATGCAATGTATAAGTAATGTTCCTCTAACCATTTCAAGTAGTGTGGCTGATATTATTGGACCAAAATGTATCAATAATAGATGTCAAAATTTGAAAGTTGAAAGAAAAAATGATGGAGAAGAATGTTTTATTGACAGGTACTCGAAAATTATTTACGATTGTAAAGTTGGATCGATTTGTTCAACGTATGGTACTGGGAGTAAATGTGTTCCAAAATTGAGTGTAAGAAAGGGTGAAAGTTGCTTTAATCCAACTACTGACGACAAGTCAACTATTTTCAATTACAAATATTGTGAAAGTGGATCTTATTGTAAAAGTTTGAGTGATGGAAGTCAGATTTGTGTTGAACCACTTATTAAGGGTTCAATATGTGCAAATTCAACAACCAGATGTCAAGATGGTACTGTTTGTCGTCAAAATTCACCAACTGATTCAACCTTCACTTGTCAAAATATTGCAACTTATGGAGAGAGTTGTGTTTTGGATTCTGATTGTGCATATGGTACAACCCAATTTGTAAAGTGTTACAACAACAAATGTCAAAGAATTTTCGGTACTGTAACTAATGGAATTTGTAAGCAAGACGATGAGTGTTACACCAGATATTGTTCACCTGAAGGGAGATGTGCAGAACGATCGAATAATATTCCATGTTCAACAAGTAATGATTGTCCATTTAGAGAAGGTTGTGCCTGTGGAGGTAAAGGTAATTATTCAAATAGTTTTGGAAGATGTGCAAGCAATTTACAATGTTATGGACCCTATACTGATATGCTGTCTTGTGTGTTCAATTTGGGGATTACATTTAAAGAGTACTATTTTTTTGGTGGTTTTGGTTACAGTCAATTTGTAGATGAAGAAAGTTCAGTATTTACCAGATGTAGAAATGCCTATTCGAGATTTTATTCTTGTTTCAGAAAAGTATTTATTTCTACTGGAATTCCTACTAAGGGGGAAATGGAAGGAGTTGATTTGGATGCTTATTCAGTTTATGCTTCTCCAATTCTTCCAGGTAGAAGTGGAGCAAGTCAAAATCAATTAGTTTTTGGATTAGCTTTGAGTATTATGATGTTGGTAACTTTGATTTTGTAAAATTTATTTCTTCTAATAGTTGAATTTTGTTGAAAATCAATTATTTTTACTATTTCTAAAAATGCTAAATTGGATTGATAATATTGATTTTGTAAATTTTTATTAATATTGTAAATCGGGTGTGGTATAGTGGTAGCATTCCAGACTGTCACTCTGGCGACCCGGGTTCAATTTGTTTTGTTAGTGTGTGGGTAATAGTTGAATGATATCGGTCATTCCTTATTTGGAAATTTCATTCCCGGTACCCATGGTATGAACGAGAGTTTTGGTTGTTAATCATTTCTCGAGTGGTTTGGATGAAGTTACAGTTATGAATAATTATCAAGGAATTGGAGACACAATACTACAATAATAATGTGTTTATTAAATGTTAATTTAGCGTCACGGTGATTACTCTGTGTTTTTATAATTTAAT